TGAAGATCGGCTTCAGGGATTTGATGCCCAAGCTTGTGAAGCCTTGCTCTCAACTCATTAATGTCGATTTTAAATTGAAATTTCTCCTTGATCCCAGCCACTTCCTCCACAAACAAATGCTCGACAATCACTTGAATTCGGAAAAAGCAATTCAACAACAAATAATTATACACAAGACAAAATTTAATCAAACAGACGTAAATTTTGTTGTAAATTATTATTACCGTCAGAGCTCTTTTTTTTAGCTTATTCATCATAGAGAATTGTTTGAGCCTAGCTCTCACAGTTTCGCCTAAAGAAACATTAGGAGCACTCTTTGCATTTTGTAACCAAGGATGATCTGAAACAAAGCAGTTTCAAACATGGATAAAGAAAAATATTTTGATGTGAAAAAAAGAATATCTTTTTCTCCAAGAGATATCTAAGTTAACCTAGAACTTCTTGAGCTGTAAGCCGCTGTTTGGGGTCCGGGTTGAGCATCTTCTTCACAAGATCTTTTGCCCAGTCAAAAACTTTAGGCCAAGGATCTCTTTTGAAATCCACCACCGAACAAATGATTGCTTGGGCAACACCTTGTTCAGTTTCTGTGAATTAAGATTACAATTTATGTCAACAATATTATGCAAAAAAATGGGAGAAATAACTGCATAAACATTAGCCCATGTTTTTGCAGGAGTGAGTAAATAATCATTATTTCTCATGATTGCTTCAGACACCTCTAAAAAACTTACCAGAAACTAAAATATTAGTAATTCAATAACAACACAAAATAGAACTGCATTTTCTTTTATCACATTTTATTATTTAATATTATTAATTTATTTTGGCAGATATAGGGCAACAGTGATGGATTCTCAATATAGATTAGAAGAACTGACCAGCCCAAAAAGGGGAAAAACCACACAATCTATATATATATAATTGCTGGCATGTAGCATTTAATAAAACCTATTTAATAAAACGTCTAAAATTTTCCCTCCATTTTCAGTTACAAAATTTATCATTAATATTTTTTTACTTATCACTTTAATACACCCTATTGATTATAATCATATATGTTTCTATTTATTATATAATAGTTATTGCTAATACCAACTAATAATAATTCACAATAAATATAAATTATATAATTATAAACATTTGTTTAAAGTTACATAATTATATTATTTATTTTAACATCATTATTATCTTTTTCTTTAGTATATCATGAATTTTTTTTTAAAAAAAAAACAATTAGTAAATTGTTTTAATGGCATAGTCAAACAACTTTTGAATCTCATAAACAATTATTTTTCAATAATAATAATAATAATAATAATAATAATAATAATAAAAATAATAATAATAGTAATAGTAGTAATCTATCTCTATATCTATAAATATAATTGTTGGTTAATAGAATTTAATAAAATATTTAATAAAACATCATTTCGATTTCCCTCCAAAACCGTTACAAACTTTATCATTTATATCTCTCTCTTTATATTTAATTACGGATAATAAATTTAATAGTATTGATTATGTTTACCATCTTTTTATGTTACAATCTTCTATTATTATTATTATTATTATTATTATTATTATTATTATTATTATTATTATTATTATTATTATTATTATTACTACTACTACTACTATTATTATTATTATCTATATCTATATATGTTTAATTGTTAGCTAATCATTAAATAAAACCTCATAAATAAAACCTAATTAATAAAACCTCATTTATTTTCCCTCCAAAAGAAGTTACAAAAGTTGTCATTCATATTTTGCCTTTCACATTAATACACCCTATTAAGTGTAATCATGTAAAAAATTAATAGCATTAATTATTATATAATATAATAGCAAAAAAAATAGCATTACCTACTATAATAATAATAATAATAATAATAATAATAATAATAATAATAATAATAATAATAATAATAATAATAATAATAACAACAACAACAACAACAACAATAACAACAACAACAACAACAACAACAACAACAACAACAACAACAACAACAACAACAACAACAACAATAACAATAATAATATCTTGAAACAATAAAATTGTTTATACTTATGTAATTTATATTTAGTGTGCAATATTATGAGTTGGTAATAGCATTAACTATTATAATAATAAAATAGCAAAAAAATACATGATTATACTTAATAGGGTGTATTAATATTAATGTGAAAGGTAAAATATGAATGTCAAATTTTGTAACTTCTTTTGGAGGGAAAATAAATGAGGTGTTATTAATTAGGTTTTATAAATACATGATTACACTTAATTAGGTTTTATGAATGATATTATTATTATTATTTTAATTTTATATTTCATGAAACAATTTTCTTTAGAAACAATTAGTAAATAATTTTAATAATATAGTAAAAAAAACTTTAAAATCTTATAAACAATTGTCGTTATAATAAGAGTAGTAGTAAAAAATAATAATAATTATAATAATAATAATAAAATTTTCAAGTAAATTAGTTGACCATGATCCATCCAAATTATAAAAATTACATTACCCACATTTTTTTTTAATCAATATAGTGATTCATATGTACTCAAATAATTTATATAAATATTATTTTTATTTTTACTAATGATTAAATCTTGAAAATGCGGTATGTCCATTATCTAGAATTTTAATATTAAATTCACATATTTTGAAAATGTGATATGTTTATTATCTAGAATTTTAATATTAAATTCACGTATCTTGAAAATGTGATATGTTTATCATCTATTCAATATTAAATTCACACATATTATTTATAATATTTTATGTATATCTGTGCATGTGCACATGATGATAACTAGTGCATAATAATTTTAGCTGACACAATGTATGGTGGTTAATTCAATAACAATTAATGTTTAATAAGCTAATACACATGACGGTGCAGTTGGATATATATCTAAAAGTGTTGCTATGAAGTTAACAGTTGACTTCATAGTGGAGTCAACTTTCTATACAACAAGTAAATTTACCATATTCTCTGATTACTTAAATAACATTAATATAATTTTATTAATACGGTAGGTTTATTTATTGTATATAGAAGGTTAGCTCCACTATGGAACCAACAGTTGACTTCATGCCAAAACCGATATATCTACGGTTTTGCTATGAAGCCAACAGTTGAATCCATAGTGGAGTCAACCTTCTATATATGACCGCGCGTCGCGACGCGACAAATTTAAATTTATAAATTATCCTCAACTAACCTCTACTAACTAGTAGTAGCGGCGAGTAAGGGTCGATCCCACGAGGAGCAGGAATTAAGTCGTGACAATTTTCGTATC